TAATCGACGAAAAATGTAAAACTCAGTTTAAGGGCACCTAAAAGCCGGTATTGTATTTTACTAAACATAACTAATAAATGGCACCAGCATGATACTAATAAAATTTATTTTTCTCATTTAAGTACTGATTTACTCGTAGTCTCGAAACTCTACTCAAATGCTAAAAATAAGTAACGTAGTCGATTGTTATGGCAAATATACGTTTGTTTCATCGACAATCCCACCAAAGAATATATGGGAAAAGGCCTGGTCTTCTTTGAAATGCACATTGCCCTGTGACTCAGTGGCACCCCTGGCAATGTGGCCGACTGGTTAACGCATCAAGCTCTAATTCTGCCCTGTCACGGTTCGAATCCCGCTGGGGATGTTGACCTCGTTTTCGCGAATTGATCTTGTTGTCAGGGCGACTTAGTAGAACGCACCTAGTACAAAGTCGTTTGCCATAGTAGTCGTCATGATTCCCAGCATCAGACAGTGGACTTGGTACATTCTCAAACGTTTCGCCAGCATCTTAGTCGGTGAGTTTCGCCATTCTCCGCACCCAGCTACGAACTCGTCAAAGCGAATGGCAGCAATCACTGATGATGCCGACTAATATGCCGGCGAAGCGTTTGAAAATGTACCAAGTCCGCTGTCTGATGCTGGGAACCATGACAAATACTATGGCGTTCTACTAAGCCGTCCTGACAACAAGACCAAGTTGCAATATCAAGATCAATCCAATTCTATTAAAAAAGGTTTCGTTTGCAGAAAAGTGAAGGTTAGACTCTCGTATACATCAAGTTTGCCGGGACAAATGGCATATGAATGATATATTTAGGGGGGAGAAACTAGTCATAATCAAGATATGAGAATATTTCTTAGTTGATGAACTCAATTCGATGTGAATAGAGTACAGAAAGCCAATAATTGTATAGTGTTTGTGTGACTTTAGGCACCTAAAATTCTTTCTCAAGCCGACTACTGGACTTAGAGCTTTCAAATCAGAAGTGATTATGGACTACTTTCCGAGGCTAGTGAGTTCGCTAAAGAATTGTGTAGCAGACGGGCGATAATCACATATGCGGTAGCACGAAGCTGTGAAAAGAATCCATGCGACTTCAGTGCACAAGGGAAACGTCTTCCCTGGCATTGGAAACGCTCGTAAGATGCCCACTCAATATAAAAGTACAGAAAGTGTATGTCATCAAAATTTCAGTCAGTCTAGCTCTGATACTCAGTGTTGAATGCTCTTTTTGCCAGGCTGCCTGGCCCAAGACAGTTGTCAGTTCCACGACAAGGTCGGCGACTAGACACCAAGATGAGGTTATTTACATACAACTAAGCCAGATACAATGAGTAGTGGTAGTTTCAAGGTTGTTTGGGTATGTGCAGATTAGCCTAGGCCGATATTTGCTTTTGCATGAAATCGGAATTATAAGTCTTTATTATAGGAAATTCGGCTCATGAAATGTATCAAAACTGGCATAGAGAATACCTGACCAATTGATGAATCTGGAAGCAACGCTTTATGCGCCTTTGAGAGATTAAAGGGGATTTGGCCTTTAAAATGGACTTTTAGTTCACTTTATCTGCAGAAATAGATGGTTCTGCCTGGCTCAGATGTTCTCAAGACTACTTGGACTCGAATAGAAACTTATGCTAGAAAGCTACTCATATCTAAGGCATTTGGACACGAAACCAGGATCCACGGGCTTAAGGGAAAATACTTTCGTGTACACACTGGCCTGGGGATTTAAGGACTGTCAGTGGAATGAGTTGATGAGACAATCCTAATGAACAACCAAGTAGACTTGACTGATGACCGCTTCCTTTGCTCTATTGCCATATAGAATGTGGAGAATGCCCCAGAGTAAGTTCGGGTAAATCATTACCTTTAGATAAGTCTGCGTTTGGTAAATCCTGAGGAAAGATACCCAAGTCTGATTAGGTGAGTCTGAGAGTGACAGAACATTGTGTTAAAATTCATCTACTCCTTTATCACCTTTTGCGATATAAGGTGAACACAGTTCTTATTCTAACGTTGAAAATTGCTACAATATCATTAAGATGGCCTGAATTAAAGAAATCACTCAGTGGCTCAAGAGGCAGACATACACTCTACCCCTTAATTCGATTGTGTATATGAATGAATTAGATAATCTTATGAAATACCTCATTAAGGTGTTTTTTGTAAGGTTCTCTTGATTTTTGTGTTTTTACTTTTGAAAGCTTAAGCTAAATTAGTTACGGCTATTATACACAGAAATATGAGATAATATTAAGGATTCAGTTGTAAAAGGAATAGATTTTATAGTTTTGCATGCTATTGAGCATAATAATAGTCCTGTTTGAGTATTAAATTCTACTTGTGCTTGTTTAATATTACTTACTTTTCCTGACCTTCATGTTTTTTTCGAGTTACTTTTAATAGAGCTGCAGTGATTCATCGAAACCCAGTTACTATGTCTATCTATTTTTAATATATTGGTCGAAAGTTCTTCTCTAGCATCTTCGATGATTATTGAAACAAGTAGCACCATGGTAACCGCATGGGAAACTGTGGTTTGTTGATCGCATCCATTAGTGTGTATTCTTTGAGTGATTCTTCTATTTATGACATTTTAACAGTCTATGTTATTTATTTAATAATTCCTCTATTTTTGTGTTATTTTATCTGTAGTTTTATATTTACATTTTTGTCCTAGGGGGCAGAAACAACGTTTTTAAGCGAGGTAGTTTTCAGGTGTCAGATTATGTTTACTTTACTCTTAGCCAGAGGTTTTATTATGATTTGAGTATTTTTAAAGATCTGCTAATCTCGCGTAATTATATCAAACAGCTTTGAAGATTTAGAGATAGAGTTGATTTTATATGTATAACCGGCATTAGTGATAATCGTTTTATAAAGTCGGTGGTTACAAATAAAAATTTTGCTTCATATATTTCTAACGTAATAAAAACTGTTGATTCTTCTTTTAGATTATTAGTGGGTGAGAATTATTCATGTAATGTTACATTTATTGATGCTATATATTCTTTTAGAATATCATCAGTAGATTTGAAGACTGATGCTTATCCAAGTCGTAAAAAAATGCCTGCCTATTGTGATACTCCAGATATCTTTTTAGGTTATTGTAATCAGTTTCGTGGGTCTGTGCATTTTTACATGCCTAAGGTTTTAAATGTAATAGACATATATTATTTACAAACTGATGGTTTATGGTGCAGTTTATATAATTTTAATTTATATTTTGAACATGATATATTAACTAGACTATGTGGCTCATGATTCTAAACTATATAATATATATTATTTTTAACTGAATTATATTTTATATATTATTGTATACCTTTTCATAGAATTTGCTCTTTTGGAGTTTCTAAAATTATTATTTTTAGGCCATAATTATGAATATTAAATTTTGAGTTCTTCTGAGCATATTTTTATTCATTCGGTAGCGATGGAGCTAAAGCAAGATCCTGGCATTAGACTTCTGCTTTAGGTGGGTTTTGCATTGTTTATTTTAGACATGACAACTAGTTATTCTATAAACGATGATTTGGATGAAGAGGCTCTTTCGGATTCTTATGGCCTAATTTTTTATTTGTCGTTGTTTTATTATTAACTTATTTTGTGTTTCCAATATACAAAGCAATATAGAAAAACCTGTGATAGGCTGTCTAAGATTATTAGATTAAGCTATATTAGAGAATGTTAAGCATTCTGAGGTTTGATTGGTTTTGACTATTGTAAAAGAAATGAGTTTCATAATTTTGAAAGCTATTGAGTATACTACTCGTACGGCTTAGAGAGTAAACTCTGATTGATATGGTCTTGTCTTCTGCTGATTTATTTGTGTGTTTTTTATAATTATGTCAAGTCAATTATATCATATTTCGTATATAAGTAGGTCTTCGAGATGTATTCACCCTATTTCGTTGGGGTGATTAAGGACGAGTAGTTGAAGTATTCTGCAATGGTATGAGTAGGCCTTACGGTACCATTGAATTTCGCATAGCATAAAGGTATTCACATCCGGAGTTGACGGCAATTTCGACCTCGACTAGGTCTCAGCAGCACTCCCAGCAGGACTTGAACCGTGAAAGTGCGGCGTATAGTCTCGATACGTTAACCATTAAACCATACTGCCACGAGTCTTTTGGTAGATGTGAATTTCAAGGACGGCCATGAATTTTCTTAGATCAGATGCTGTGGTAAGATCATATATACATACATATAAATATAAATATCATTTATATACAATGTAATCACCATATTTCGTTTAAGGTAATGAATGACTGGTTGTTGAATTTTTCGTTGACCTTAAACGAAATATTTTGAATACATCTATTATATTAGATCTACTGGTAGTTTCATAAGTCTATCAATAATCGAAAAATAAGTAATGTACTCGATTGTCACTGCAACTACAAATTTGCCTTATCGACAATCGCACCACAGAATTGTGATATGGGAGAAGGACTTACCCTTCCTTGAAATTCTCATTTGCACCATGAGCTAAGGGCACTAGTGGCAGTGTGAAATAGGAGGTAGCATGTCGAGATTAGATGCCATGTACTGTGATGGTTCGAGTCCCGCTGGGGGTGCTGATGAGAAGTATGCGAGGTCAAAATAGAGGTTCACTCCTGCCTGGATGAGAATATCCTATGGGGAGCAAGGCTGCGAAATTTAATGGAACCGTAAAGCCTACTCCAATCATTGTAGTATACTTCAACTATTAGTCCTTCACCATCCCAACGAAATAGGAGGAATACATCTCATATATATATAGGAGCTACAAATAATCTCAAAAACCTACTTATATACAAAAAATTATATAAATGATTTGGCATACTTAGATAAAATATAGAACTAAATCAACAGTAGACAAGACCTTGTCAAGACCTTCATCACCTCAATGAAATAAGGTGAAGACATCTCATATAGAACGTTAAGCGCTTCACCTTTATATTGAAATTTCCTTGAGTCTATATAAGTTATTTTGCTATTTCTTGATTCATTTGAATCTGCTCTCCTCAATCCTTATTGAAGCACTACTTGGCAATAATGTCAATGCCATGAATGAGACCTTTAGTGCCTTTGAGAGCTTTGAAGGCGACATGCGGTACCCAGCCGAGGACTCGGCTGTAGTGCTTACCTCAATGTCCATGCTGACATACACCGTGGGGAAGTCGACCCTGCCAACCTGCTTCAGGCCTAGCGTGTCCTTCAGCCGTTTTCGACTCTGGCTGAGGTAGCAAATCTCGCCGGCCTCGAGCTCCGAGAGCCAGATGTGGGACACCACTGAATAGTCGAGGATACGGCGGCGTAGCTGCGACAGACCGGCGGTGATACCGACGTCCGAGTTGTTCGTACCCGTGCCGCCGGGACCCGAGGCCAGTCTGTAGCCGGGATTCGAGCCCTGAGCCCCGGCGTTGGCATGCCACGCAGTCTGCCCGGCGAGTGGGATGCCGCCGGAGGGCTGCGACGAGGCTGGGGAAGAGAGGGTGTTCAGCAGATGATTTGATGTACCCGAGATGAAATTGCGCTTAGTTGCGGGCCGACGCAGAAGGGTGCCGAGGCTGGGCACCACCTTGACTGCAAACTGAAGATCGACGAGATCACGGCGAGCTGCCAGCAATGAGTCCCGAGAGATGAGCATTTCAGATGTGAAGCAGAGCGAGGTTCTGTGCGGAAGCGACAATTCGGCGTTGGGTAGAAGGGCGGTCTTTGTTGCCTTCACGAAGAGAAAGAGACAAGGGACAACAATAAATGCGATTGGGAAAGCATATAACACAGTGACAAGAGGAGAGGAGGTAAGCGAAATGGTTAAAATGGTAGACCGACTGGGTGGAAGTACAAGATGCTGCTGAGAATGGTGGTAATCCGAAGGAGTCGGGTGGACTCTTCGTCCGGCCAACTGTTGCACCGAGCCCGCAAATGGTGACTGGCTCTGCAGGGTAAGGGTAAGTGCTGGGTGCCAAAGGGTGTGGAGAAATGGTGTGACACCCTATCTTCATGTGTGTCTCCCATGTCACGTCTGAGGCTGCAAATATTTGCATCAGTTTCGTCTGAGGGCGACTTCGGGACGCATTGGCCAGCCTCGAGCCCATTGAATGAGTAGAGAGACTTTTAACGTCTTGCTTAGTGCGGCCCCAGACGAAACTGTGACTACTACCAATATACCCGAATAAGAGATTATTTCACACGATTTTGTTCTGCCAAAATTGTTTTGCTCACTTGCGTTGTAATTGTTACACCACTTTGAGCAAATCTTCTTTTGAGTATTAATGTAGAATCGAAGCGTGCTAACATTTTTGTCACTGGAGCTACATAGACACTGGAATTCGCATTAGATCAGCAACCCAACATTTTGATGTATACCGGTTTAGCTCAAAGGTCCATAATGCTATAGGCAAATTTAGTTATGAGCTGTACTTTACTTTTATTGATAAATTGTAAGAACTAACAAGAGGGTAGGTATGAAACCGTGTCCTTCATCAATGATAACGCATAAACGTGTGGCTCATGTGGAGTGTCGTCTAATTCACGAAACATTTTGGTTCTTAAATTAGTGGTAATGCGTATGCATTGCTACTTTACCGTTTGGCAATATGGAAAATAGAGCCCGAAGAAGTTCCGAAGTCAATGAATAGAACAAGATGGCAGTTTACCCTTTATAAATATTCCAGTTAGTAAGGAGGAAACGAAATTGGGTAAAGAGGTAGTTTGAACTTGTTTTCGCAACATCGTCATGTTGGTAGGAAGACTTATTGGAACGCACCTAGTCCGGGGTACATTGTCTGCATGATCATTTCCAAAGTTGAACCA